AGTCCTATTACAAAGGCATTAAGCAGATGTTTGTCTAAAAGAAAGAAAGAACAAAAAACATCCTAAATTAATGTGCTTGATTTGTATTTATTTAAAAAACAGAATAAAATGTGCAACATTTTAATCTCGTTCTATTTTTTGAGCAAAATTTAATGAATTTTACCTTCTTGCTAAAAAAGCACATATGGTTCATGTATCTTACAGTGGAATTAACAGCATAAAATTACAGTTCAGGTATCCCAAACTAGGTTGATTAGAGGCTGATGACTAATCTTGAACCAATTCTGCTAACAATGAAATGTAACAGATTCATCAAGCACCAGTATGGCACGAGAATATTGAGTAATCTCCTCATTTGAATTATGCCTGTTGTCACAGCACATCTGTGCTTTGCTGTTGTTCTAATCCTAAACCTTGTGCATGTCATTATCATTAATGCTGAAAAAATGCAGCAGATATTGACCCCCAAAGTATACCTGACTGAAGTGACATGCTATCAGTCAGTCAGGTATTTCCATACAACTTAATTGCATCACATGAATTAAGATATACACTTACCAACCACTTCTTTAGATAAAACTATTCACCTGCTTGTTCTTGCAAACTTTTAATGTTATCACCCAATAACATGGCAGTAACCCAGTACATTTAGCCATGTAAACGTGGGCATAAGCATGAAGCTCAAACTGAGCATCAGAACGAGGGAGAAATGTGTAGTGTGGGATGAAAGGTGAGGTGGCTTTGCAGAAACTACTACTCCTGGGATTTTTTTCTCACAAGCATCTCTAGAGTTTACAGATAATGGCCTGAAAAAGAGAGACTTGTACAGTTTAATGCATTTTTAGCATATATATTATCAATTAAATAAGTTGAAAGGATAAAAGAAGAAATCAAACTTTTAGCTGCTCAGAGTTTTCACTTTCCTGTTCTGATGTTTGACCTTCCTCCACCTCACCCCCCAAACAACAGTAAAATTCACTCCCCTTCCATAGTTTGGAGGAAAATCCTTTCTGCCTCATCCTGTCCTCTGATTCCTGCAGTATGGACATGGTTGAAAAAGTGAAGCAGTAAGTCCTGCTGTTCAATACAAAACAGAGGGACTAAAATAAAAATTTCTGAAATCCTACTAAATCAAAGTTATGACTCTCAAATTGAAGAAACAATTTGAGGTTAATCACTTGTGGCGATAAAATGTGGAAGCTACAATTCACACGGGGTCACAAAAATTTAACAATAGATTGGAAAAATGTTGTCTTGTCTGAAGAGACTCAATTTCTGTCGCAACGTTTGGATGGCAGGGTCAGATTTGACATGAACAACATTAAAGCATGGCTCCATCCCGCCATGATGCATCTGTCAGTGGCTCATATTGGTGGCAATGGTGTAATAATGGTGTGGGGAAATTTTCTTTGCACACTTTGGGTCCCTTAGTATCAACTGAGCACATTTCAATGCCATGTCACAAAGCTCAAATAAAATGAAGTACTTTCATTATCCTCAAATGTCTTCCACAGTCAACAGATATGGCACCTTTGGGATGTTGTTGAAAAGGAGATTCACATCATGGATGCAGGAACTGTGCGAGGCTATCATGTCAATATGGACCAATAATCTCTGAGGAATATTTCAGACATCTTGTTGAATTTCTGCCACCGGGAATTACGGTCATTCTAAAGACAAAGTGAACAAAGCCTGGGTGTACTAAAAAACACTACCTATGGGTTTGAGTAGATAGCATGTATAAAACTCAGAAACAGGTAACAGCATGTCATTTTTTTCTGTTCGGTCATTATTCCACATGAGGAAAACTGCCATTCAGCACTCATTAAACACATTACCACTGAAAACCCCCTTTAGCTGCTGGACATTATAATAAGTTTAACTCGCTTGTGTTTACAGTCTACCCCAGTCTGCAGCAACATTGCTCCTTCCCATATCCTACAATCCTACAAAGCCAAACTGTTTCTCTTATATTCAAACAGAAGCAATCAATAACCAGTAATCAACAGAATACAAACTGGCAGACTCATCTCCATACACACTCAGCAGACCAGGAAACCAGTTTTACAGAGACAGGGTGCAAACATCTTATTTGATTGTGACTCATTGCATCTTGATTTTGTCACATCTAGTGATGCATTTGCAAAGCGAGACATCCGAATGCTCCTATGAAAGAATGACAGAGGTCATTTAAAAAGGTTTAGGTGCTCATGATTGAGTTAAATAATATTCAAAGATAACATTTTTGCTGTTTGGTCTCTCTTAGACAGCAGTTGTGTTTGGCTTCCCAGACATTCATATATAGAGCAAGGCGATGAGTCATCGTTTTGCATAAGGCAAGGGCATTTGTAGCCTGGACAGTAGAACTCTAATGAATCTTTTCTCTGTTCCCCTTTTCTTTATCTTTCTTCCTCTGTCCCTCCCTTTTGCTGGGCTCAGTTAAACCCTGTCTCTGCATCCTTACAAAGTCACTCAACTGGATAAAGTCATTTACCTGAATGAAGAGGAGCGGAGGGAGCGAATAGGCAGAGCGGGGAAGGGTGGGGGTGCAAGCGTACAGAGGAGGTCTGATATTGTAAGCAGAATGTAGAAAAATGAAGAAACCAAAAAGAGGAGAAATGACGGGTAAAGAAAACTGAGAGCGCTGAGCTGTGAAGCAAGTCTGGATACTTTAATAAGACAAAATAAGATGTTTGTTGTTTCCACCTGTTTATTTATGGCCCAGGACTCCAGAAAATAGAAAAAGGTGATGGTCAAAGAGGCAGAGAACACGCAGAAGAAAGATAAAGGAGACATAGTCAAGGTCGGGATTAAACAGAAATTAGGAAGATCATTGATTTATGTTGATTTCAGTTTGGAATAAAATTAATTGCAAAGGAGATTATATTTTGACTAAATGAAGTAGCAGGACTGATCATGGGGGATATAACTGTGAATATCATAGAAATATATGATCCCAACTGGCTCTAGTCAAGTTTGTGTGGGTTTGTACTTCTGGATTTTTAAAGGCACACAAGCCCAGCATTTAAACTGAAACCAGAAGCACATACTGTAAGTTAAGAAACTCGGTTTTGTCTCATTATAACATTATCCCCTATATTCCATCAGTCTTCCTTCATTATTATTATTGTTGTTATCAAATGTTTTGTGTTCTCTAATGTCTAAGAACAGAATTAGTTTGCCCAAAGGCAACCCCCCGAACCATTAGTCTGGGGATGATTTAGCATTTCATTAGCTTTTTCACATTTATTTGCATTTGTAAACAACGGCTTAAAATCCACACATCCATTATTCATATTCTGGACCTCGTAGTAACACCACAAAGGCCTGAAAAATTCAGACAGTGTGCTTTCAGCAATCTTGCATTTCATTATGTAGCACATTGTTATGAGATTAAGCCGAATCTCTAAGAACAACTAAAAAAATTGGTTTTGACAGAATAACAACACACATTTCAAATTATGGACTTTTATAGGTTGTTACTTGTCAACAGTGCTCACTTTGAATTAAGCCTGGATTCTTCACTTTCAGGCACAGTGGTAATGTTACTCCGGGGATGGCCTGCCCCACCACTTTCCCACAAACTGAAATGCTGGAGAGCAATAAAACATTCTTGGTCACCATCCTCCAACTTTTTATCTAATGCCAAAGATCTTAAAATGTTCATGAGTCCAGTTTGTCCTTTCATGACTCGATATACATGTAAGCAATCAAATCTACATGGTTACCATCTTCATTTTCGTGAACTCTGACAAATGCTAACGCACTAAACTAAGGTTTGTAAATATTGTAAATTATACGCGCTTGACATCACCATCATAACAGTGAACATGTGAACTGCTGGTAGCTTTGAGCTCAAAGCGCCAATGTGTTTCAGTGCAGCCTCGCAGAGCCGCTGGCATGGCTGCAGACGTGGAACATGCATATACAGCACACAAAAGCTTTTATCCTTGAACACTGCTGTCCTGGTGATTAGCTTTATCACCTCAGACTTCATATGCAACATGACAGCGTATGGTACAGTGGCATGTCACGAAGTGGCACGGTGTCACAGTCTTTTGTTACGTAAAGGTGCGTCCTCCTGCTGACATAATAAAATGGCTTTAAAAAAATCTGTCCATGTATTCATTATCTAATCCCTTAACTGGAAGTTTACGTTAAACATGCAGATATTGTAATATTTTAATCTGTAGATGAAGACATAAATAACTGTAGCTTGTCTAGAGAGGGGGCCATCTGTATCACAGTGATCTGTCACTGCTTGATCCCTCTCTCCACCGGAAAGTGCTAATCATCACCTCGCTCCTTTTGTTAGAACTGTTCATCCAGTGCGGTGTGGATGATTCTAATTTTCTCGCCTCATTGTCTTTAATCAGGTGTATTAATCACATTTGTTATGATTTATGAGGGAGGAACAGCTGCTACACTGATTCCTTGGTTAGTTGGTATGCCCAGTACGTTGATTACTCACTCTCTTACCTTCCACTAATGATCTGACAACGGAAAATAACCTACTGCTTGTTTAGAAATCCATAGCTACAGTTTGTTTTCATTTCATATACACACAGTGATCCACCTGGGCCCTCCCTCTACCTTGTTTTTCTTTAGTAATTGACCTTGACTGTAATGGAGACCTTTAGCTAAGAAGGTCGATCAGCCGTGAGCCATAAAGATACCGACTACCATGATCAGTCTTTACAGGTTATTAGTCACAGTCCTGATGTGATTAACACAACTGCACTTTTATGTCATATCTCTCCAGTCTTTCCCTCTAGTCCTTAAACCCCGATGACAATGTGACACCTCACTTTAGTTTGTGAAGTCACATGTTCTGCAAATTTCACCGGGAGCTTGCACACTCATTCAGAAACACAGCAGGAAAAAAATACATTTAATGTCTGACATAGTGCTGCATGAAGTCTACATTCCCTGACAGTGATGATAAAATGTACAGACACACTGCAAACTCATGATTTTTCTTTTTTTTTGTTTGGCTTTTTATTAATGTTTTGGTTGGTTTTCTATGCCTACAGGAATCACATGCACGGTTAAAATTGGTCTCTCTTTCACTTTTTCCACAGTTTTACTGATAAGCTGATCTGGTGTCAAATGACACACGTTCTTCTCTGAGATAAAAGGGTCTTCGTGAAAACATGGTGTGTAACATATTCCACAAACATGGCACTCCATAAAAAAAATGCCAAATGAGTTTCCTTCTCTGACAATATGCACTCCCTGGTAGATTAAAAGCAGTCTTGCTCTCTGCGCAGGTTCTCCTGAATGTAAAATATTAAGCAGGGGCCGCAGCTTTGGGTAATAACGCTGACTCAGCTTTTCAAATTGGAAATTTGATGGACCTTTACTGTGCGCTTTGGACGGTTACTGAGGGTAAATACTAAACAAGTGGGGCTGTGTAAGATAACACAACAGATGGAAAGCATTTCTGCTATGAGGAGATACTTATATACAATATGTACAACACTGCTGAGAAGATTGAAGTATTTAGTTGTGCTGGATGAACAGTTACTTATATTTAACTGCCTTTGGCTCTGTGCATCTCCCAGAGTGAATTCATGGGCTGAACGTGATGAAACTAGTTTTAAAAAACCATCAGTTGTAGTTGTGACAGGTCAAGGCCACAGTCTTTGATAAATAGGTTATCCTGGTAATATCGTCTGTCCTCACACTATGTAGCACTGGATTGATGTTTCGACTGGTTAAACAGCCACGTTGGCCAGTCTGGGGTCAGAGTCCTGCTCATAGCGGTAATGATATACCTCCATCTGGTCACGGCAGGCCTCTCTGATGTTGTTGAGCCACCGTTTGATGCCTCCCCGGTTGAGATAAAGTACCATCAGGAACACCACCCCGATGAGAGCCAACACTATACCTAGGAAAACATATGACACCGCCTCCAGGTTCTCGTTCATACAATCAACCTCCTCTCCCCGGAGCTTTTCCACGGGAATCCCCCTCTTAGCCTCTGGCTCGCTGCACAGGAGACGCCCTGCATCCAGGCACTGGGACGAGTTCTTCAGCCAGTAGTAAAACGCCTCCAGTTCACAGCTGCACCGAAACGGATTTAAAGACAAGTAGACGCGTATGCGCCTTTGTTGGTACAAACTGGTTACATTTTCCTCCCCGATGATCTCTATTGAGTTATTAATCAGCACCAACTCGTGGAGGTTAAAGACATCTAATCTCTCGAGGGGGATAGACGTCAGCTTGTTTCCCGCCAACTCCAGTCTGTGCAGGTTGCGCAAACTTTGTGTGTTGAGCGCATCTGAGAGCTGCGCGGTGGCCGCAGGAGAAACGGAGTAATTCAGGTTAAGAGAGCGCAGATCGGGTAATCCATGGAAAGCCCTGGATGAGATAAACTCCAACTGATTGTGGCTAAGATCCAACGAATGTAACCGGGAAAGCCCCAGGAAGGCGTAAGGTTCAATAGCCTGTATCCCGTTATAGGACAGAGAGAGTGTTGTCATTTCCAACTCCGTGCCGTTGGTCATGAACGCATCACGCTGTAAAGTTGAGATGTTACTCCCCGTAAGTGTCAAGGTGGACGTCCACTTTGGCATGTCTCTGGGTACCTCGGTGTAGTCCCCGTCACGGCAGGTCACCGTCCTCAAGCCCCTGGTACAGATGCAGGACGACGGGCACGCGTCGTCCATCCTTACGGGCGAAAGCAACAAACACATCACTGCTGCGTAATACAAACACCACTGGTTCCAAATAGAAAAGATACACTTTGAATTGTCCGAACTGTAAAAGATCCACATCTTCTCCCTCTTTCCCCCCCTTCTCTCAAAACAGGAATATGCCGATGGGTGTTGCAAAGAAGGTGACCGATCCTCTCACAGGCGTGTAAAGTCGTGTCAGTCGGACGTATTGCCTTTACTTGGAGGAGACGGGATAGAAATAAACGGCTTTCTTCATTGTCACCTTGGAGTCGTGTTTTTCTGCAGTAAAGATGAGTTTTGTTTGAGATTTGCACGCATGAGAACGGCTGAAGACGGCCAAGTGTGAAGTGTGGCTGCGTGGAAAGCTTCTGATCCGCGCTCCCTTGGTGGTATTTTTGACGTCTGTCACAGAGAGGAGGGGCGGGGGCGGGGGGGGGGGGGGGGGGGGGGTAGAGGGGAAGAGAGAGAGAGATATGCACGGCAAGCTTAATGTTCTTCTGAGCCCTCTTCCTTTAGAATTCATTGTTTTGCTAAAAAGGGAATATGAAGAAGAATAGATCACATGAGTCCCTGAAAATGGTTGGAATCACTGGAAGGATGGACTTTAATGTTAATGTTAGCTTTTCTTCCTGAAGAAATACTCTCTTAAATGCTCACCAGTGAAAAATCCTCAATACCAAAAACAAAATATTAATGTTCATAACAGTAATAATCAGAACTGTTCATTGAATCCATGGAGCTCATTCTACAAATTTTAAATGGGACACTGTTTACCATTACTGGATAGCTGTACAGTCATTTATCTCCAAGGCTATTGGTTTTTTTCCCCCTCCCCATTCATGCTGTTTCCATTATTACATTATTATAGGCTTGAATTACATTTTGCATTCATTGCAAATGAGTTGCTGTAATTATGCCTGGGTAGTGCAGAATGTTTAATGGGGCCTTGGTCAGTTCCTTCCAATTAATCAATTTTCCACAAAAAGAAAACTCACTTTTGGAGAGTTGGTCACGCTCCCCACGTCTACAGTACAGAGTTGGCAAACAAATCAATAAGCCTGAATAAATAAGCAGCTCCAAAATCAGAGTTTTGCATTGGCCTGTGATGCTGGAGTGACATGCGGGACTGATCGGTCATTTTGTCTCATTACTTACCCAGAAACCAGAGGATGAAAAAACTGATGTTTACATTTATTTCTGAGACTAATGAGGATGAAGTGAATTATACTCTAATTACGCAGTAAGGAATCTGGAAACATTAGTCCTAGGGTACCATGGCAGAGTACATTGTTCAATGTAGCTTGTATATTAAGCAGAAACTGTGCAAATGTGCCAGGAGTATTTATTCTTCAGTCATAATTATGTGTTGGTCAAAAGGTTAGTTAATAAACAAACTAGAGCTTCAGCACCCTGGACAGCTCCACAGAGCAGTACTTGACTCTAAGGGATATTGTGTTGTTCTGTGTTCAAAAGGAAGTAGCCTAAGTTGAAATGATCAAAGGAAGGAGAGAACAGAGGAGGAAAGAGGTTTATTCCATTTTAAATGTTAAGAAACTAAAGATCTAAAGATGAGAAAAAGGGGAAAGTCAGAGACTGCCCAGGGGTCAGTAGCATGGATGCCTCCATACGGCAGAGCACTGCAGTAAGTTCTGTGGGCACAAACAAAGAAGGAAAGTGAGGGCAGGAAAAAAAAGAAGAAGAAGAAAGAACTGGAGAGCAAAAGAAACAGAAAAATGACAAACTAGGGCAGAGAAAGAAAGAAACTCTAGTAGCATTCACTCTCCCACCTGCTGCTGTTTCTGTTCATTACATCCGTCACAAATTTACAACAACGGCCTATCAACAACATAAAAGTTTAAATCAAACTTTGGCTTTCTTTTTCTTCTTTGTGTGTGTTTCTGTTCTTATACAGCAAAACATGTATCTGTAATCTCATTTTGATTGTAGTCTTATCCTAACAGTTGGACTCTGGCTGCGGTGATGTGTGTTCACTGCTCATCAGTTCATCTCAAGCCACTGGATGAGACTGACAGCAGGGCTATACATGACTAGAATCTTTCACACCAGTCTTAGAAAGCCAGTTCTTCGTGGACTTGGTTTGACTCTTTCTCCAAACTGACGCATAGTTGAAACCACACTCTTGCCCAAAACAACACTATGCACTTTGATATAGAACTTTACATAAAATGGAAATAAGAGCACCAACTCATGAAAAAAACAAACAAACTCCAGTTTAAAAGTAAATCAGATTATCTGAGCAAAAGCATCTGCACAGAAATTGTGTTAGTGTAAATACAATCTATTGATTATGATTGATTTTTTACCCTAAGTAAATAAAATTCAGTATAATATTGGTATTGATCTTTCCTCAAACCTGACAAGAAAATTAGATTCTCAATTTGTGATTTCACTAAATTAAAAATTATTCATTTAAGGACAGTTGGAAGACTGGTGCTTATCACAGAGACCACAGCACCAGGGGGAGTCTGGAGCTGATTGTAGTGCGCTGTCATTCTCAAGAGCACTCCATCAGCAACAAATGGACACAACTGGTTATGGTGGGGATGTAAATATAGACAGAGGGAGAGGGAGAACAAGAAACCGAGACACAGAAACAACAGGGCACAACAAGATAACAAATGTTGGAAAATGGTCTTACTGCTGTTGCTGCTGATAAGCAGAAATTAATGTCAGGTTGTTTTTTTAAAACATAGCAGACAGTATTTCCTCCAAACACACAAGGACATCTGTTCAATCCTCCTCTTATCCTCTCAAGACCTCTTTGCTTCCTCCACAACCTGGGTGTCCACTCTATCTGCCAGAGCTGAGAGCTGATTTAGTGGTGGTTGCTGTTCACAGGCTGCTGCTGGGATACGGTGCCCTCACCATGCTCTTTAATTTGACACTGAACCTCGTAATTGATTTTCTCAAGGCTGCCCATCCCTATCTCCTGACTACAGTAAGAGAGAGTGTGTGTGTGTGTGTATCTGTAAACTTGAGAGTGAGTGACCAGTTTTGGTCTAATCCTCAGGTGTGTCATTATTTCTGACAGGCCCGGCACACGTGCCAAATTAGCAGAAGCTTACTGCTGTCCTGTGTATGCATTATGCAAATCATTGCACATGCTGCAATTACATTTGATCACATGCATTGATGACTGGATACTTTTTATGATCTTGAATTGCTCTGTTTATTCGCTTCAAATGGTTCCTGCATTTACTTTGTCATTTTGGATTTCTCCTTCATCCCACCTGCATCATCTGTCATTCATTAACCTTGAGTTAAGAGCCAACCTGATCTTTCCTTCATCCTCCCTCCAGCTGGCACATGACTGACACATGCCGGACTTACTCATAATTACATATTATCCAAATAAGCCAAGTAAAGGACACAAGTGTGTGTATCTAAAGCAGGTGAGCGCTGTAAAAACAGTCCACTAAGCCTGAGGGTGTCAGTTGGTGTTAGGTGCTTAGATTTCCTATCATGACTCAACACAGCGTCTCATCACATCAAAGACATTACCTGCACCTTGATCATCTCTCTGGCAACACACAGAGAGAGGATACTGTGAGAAATGCAACTATAAAACTATTATGTTGCTTAAAATCTCCTGGTTCAAAATGGGCCTTTGTGAGAGTAAATACAATCAGCCCACATAGAGTATCCAAACCAAATCGTTACCTTGTCTGTGTTGACTTATTTCTTACAAAAGTCTAGGCATTGTCTTGTCTAGTATGTGTTTGTTAATAAAACAACAATCACATTGCTCTCTCTTAGATTTCTTTTTGTTGCATCAAAAATTCTTTTATCCAAAATATCCCTTTTTCCAACTTCTCCCACTTTAATGTTGCATTTTTAAGACATTTGTTTATTCACTAAATGGCTTTTCTCTTTTCTCTTTCACAGTGTGCAGCTTCTCTTCTTATTCCTTCTCTCTTTGATGGATGTTCATTAGTAAGTTAGCATGAAAATGACAAACCAGTATATAAAACCATTATCTTATAGGCTTAACTCTGTTAGCTATGAAAGTGAGGAGCACAGGGAGGTTTGCACACTGCTGTACAAAATCATTACTGACTATGAGCATTCACTGCTTTGCACAGCTGCTGCCCACAGATGCGGGTGCCAGATTATGTACTGTGGTACAACTGCAATGCTCCTGGGTGATGGCAGTTCCATTTAAAATCTTATTTAATCTTTGTCCTTGCCCTGTAGCGTGGACGCTTGATATTGTCCATCACTTTAAAAAGCAGCTGGGGTAAGAAGTTGAAGGACTTTGTAGCAACTGTGAATAATGCAGTTTAAACCCACACACAGGGTTTTATACTATCTGTCTGACCCAACACAAAACTCTGCTGCACCCAGAGGCAGGTGGAGTTCAGGGTTAATCTATCTCCCCTCCTGTGAAGATAGTCACATATCACCCACCTCGCTTTTTTTCTTTCTATCTCGCTCTCCCTCCCATCTCACATGGAGTCTGCACCTCTCTTTCTGTGTTCCACCTGCCTCTTAATCTGTCCATCAGTCTCTCCGCAGACCTGCTCCTTAAACAGTACTCCACCTCTGGATGAATAAGAGATGAGCAGAGGCCTTGGGGGGAGGAGGAGAAGATGGATGGAAGGGAGAAGCAAAGAAGTGCAGCGGCATCCAGTGAGAACCCTGAGGCGATGGGAGTGTAAATGGATCTTGAGGAGCTGGTGTCACCTGTCCCAGGACCATTAATTAGTCATTTAGACTTGTAATGGAGCGAGCTGTAGCCAGACAGGCACAATCGGCCAAACAAAGTTAGTCACTTGGGCTGAGGAGTGAGCTGTGGGTGGTGATAACACTGCGTGTCCAAAGTGGGAAAATACAATGAACACTAAGTTCATATTAGATATGTATAATACATACAGACAGGGTCTCTTTGTTGATTTATGGGACTTTACAAATACATTAAGTAAAGTATGTAGGGTCATTTATATGAGAACAGTATTACTTTACGCTTAGAATAATACAGGGCAACATAAAAGCCGCAGAAAATGAAAGGGGTTCATGAAAGGAGCATAAAAACATTCATCTTGGGAAGGTAAACACACCAATAGTGAGAAAAAATGAAAAACAATGTAAGGTATAATATTAAAAGTTAGATAAATGTGATGGTAATGACACTTGTAATTTGTTTTATTTATTTGTTTGTTACTTGAATTACATCATGCAATAATTGAATCCATTCTCTTCTGCTAATCCAGTTCAGGGTCACGAGGTGGTTAGAGCCTATCCCAGCTGCCATAGGGCACGATTTTTTTCAGAAGACATTATATTTAATTTGCAACATTACTATCTCAACAGATATTTAGAGTGAAAGGTGAATTATT